GTGCAAAATATACAAAATTAAAGCTTGGGTACAGCACAGATTCTGCTGTTGTTGCCCTACAGCACGGTCGGAATAAGAACTCCTTTTCTAGGCTCCCCTGATTTTGACGGGGTGGTAGCTGCTGCCTTTTTTATTTCACCACTGTTGTACTAAATTTACATCCATTCTTGATTTATTTTGTTTCCTTTCTCATGTATATATAGATAGTCCGTAGTCATCCCTTCTGGCTAACCTTCCCCGACCGGTTTCAAGAATTACGGAAACAAATTCTTCGTGATGCTATTTTAGCCAAATCCGACGGCACAGTCACCTCTTATTTCTACAAATGCCGACAGTTTTTTTTCCTGGACGGAGTCGCGTGGTCTTTCCCCATGTCTGCCGTTTTCTTATGGGGTGTTGGCCGCTTACCTTTACCACGTTAAACAGCAGTCTAATTCTGACAGTGTTCTTGGGACTACCGCCGCCTCGCTGAAATGGTTGCACTCCTTGGTAAATAAGCACAACCTTGTTGATTCCCCTGTGGTTCAACACCTTATTGTTAGTGGTCGTCAGGCACTGCACCATCCATGCATTCCCAATTACAAAAGCAGCCATTGAGTCTAGTTCAAGTTAAAGCTATCATTGATACGTTCGCTGCACCCGGTGGTTCTCTTTTGGATTTGCGCACGGCCTGCTACGTCTGCCGCAAGTACGCGTTGTTCTTTGTGATAACAAAATGGCGGCACTTAAAGCCAGTCACCTTTCATATCTCGACGACAACAAAGGCATTTAGGTGTTCATCCCCAAGTCTAAAACAGATGTATTCAGGGAGGGCAACACTGGTTATCTTTACGACACCTTAGACGCCTATTCCCCCGTTTCTATCCTTCGTTGATTCTTAGCCGCTTCGGATGTTGCCATGGGTCAAGATGTGGTTTCGTTTCCCCCTTTCCTTCCATTCGAGTTCTAATTGTTATAAACGAAGTGCTAAAAGACCACAGGGTTATACCAGATGTCGGGTATTATTTGTCCAAGCTCTTCAGCTCATTGGTGTTTATGACGAACATGGAGCACCGAGGGCGCCCTCTCTCCGACAAGTTAACCTCTGACTAGTACAGAATATGTGAACTTTGACTACTTTATTCGCATTCCTGAGTCGTGGGTGGACCACATGAGGTAAAACTATAAAATAAACATAAGAAAAACACACTAAGTACTAATAACAATCTGCATGCATTTACACAGGTTCTCAAGAGAGTGAATACTAAAAAATTAGACATAAAAATATGAATGAAAGGTTGGTAAATCACAAGGGCAAATGCACAAAATCACCTCGAAAAGTCTTCAAGAGATTGTAAATGTCACATGAGACAATCTATGAAAATTATCTTACAGAACTGTGCTCTCCAAAAGATGAAGTGTCTTCATACTATCTATGGGTCTGGAATACTGAAATCAGCAACCTGAAAACGAGAAAAATGCATGTAGTTCCTAAATACACTGTAAACTGACAGCGCTACTGCAATTTCCAAATAAGGATACACTAATTCCAATACGGAATCTAAGTTATGAATATTCATGACATCGTGGAAAAAAATGGCCAGTGCATGCACTTAGGCAGGCCTCAAGTGCACACAAAAACTAAGTTCCTAACCTAACGTGACATTCAATTATCCTCGATATAAAGACACAAAATGACCAAATATCCACTGTTTCTTGACCAGAAAACAATACTGAACATTACAACCACATCATCTGAGAAACTCGCTTCGATATTAAGGAAAATTCTAAGGCCCAAATCCGGGGAAAGTTTTCACAAGGCACAAGAAAATTAACAATGCAATACAGAAGTTATGGCGGCAAAATGTGCCTGAAATTTACGCGACATATTAGTCATCAAATAACAAACAATAATCACTTATACAAATATCAACGGAATCTTAAACTCACCAGCTGTTTACTGGAGTAAGGCTCACAGAACAAGGTGGTCTACAAATGATGGAAAAACGGGCTCTACAATGGGTTAAAACCTGGCGTGACTGAAGGACGGTGCAACTTTAGTGAAAAAACTACAAGGACCAGGACAGGGCGCTGTACTACTTGGACCGCGACTACGCCGCATATAGGGGCGAACATAACAGTGTTAGTAATCCGTTCGCGTACGGTCTCCACAGTTTGCGCGGTTCCGAGGGGTGCCTCTCATTTGGCTAATAAACATGTGTCACATGAGTTGATAATGCAACATGGTCGCTGGAAGACCACAGAGGCAAAAAAATAGGTAAATCAAATGGAACATCCCTGAACGTTTAGCAGTCGCTCATTCGCTCCTTTGTGATTAATTTCTCATGCAGTTTTTGCCATATATTTCGGTACTGCCATGCTTTACTTATGATGAGTAATTAAACCCTTTGATATACATGTAAATGTTTTGTTGATTTGAAAGTTCATGAAATGTACCTGCTTATTCTGATGTCGTTGGTCATTTTCCACTTAAATTATTGACTAGATTTTTCGTTAAAGCGAATGACAGAATAAAACATAGACTAGAGTCAAGTCCAGGGCATTTACCCCTCCATCTGCAACAAACTGTATAGAGAGAGAAAGTAAGCAGACAGGCGGTCAGTGTACCTGAAAAAAAAACAAACAGATGACTGAGGGTCAGTTTACCTGATGTCAAAGAAGTAAAGAGAGGACAGGATTGGAGAAATTGAACTAATGAAGAAAAAAAATGGAATTAATGATAGACTGATTTCATTTTATGACCATATTCTAGTCACGGTAGTGTATGTATATTTTTATGTTCAACTAATCTTTGCTATTGAAATATATTTCCGAATCGCACACTCAGATCCTGTGCTCTGACCACAATCCCATGCTATCCAATAAACCTTGAGCATATACAGTATGCATAACTAACTGTTCATGTATTTCTTGAAGCAGTCCATCCACATCAAACTATTTTTCATGCGTATGAGCGAAGCGAAGTAGCATGAAACGTGTACATTGTACACAATACAGTGCACTAGGCGATCGCGGTGCGCGTACATTCTGGAACACGTTTTTCACCTTTGACCTTTCAACTTTCGGATATGTTACAGAAGGAATAGTCTATTCCTTCCTTCATGATTAGATTTTGTGAAGCCTCGAAATTCCAGGCTGTGTAATGCAAAAGGAAAGACCAGGAAAAACCACTCTTACTGAAAACTTGCTAATGGAAAGCAGAATTAGACCTCGTTATACCATGGAGGTAGAATATTCTACCTCCATGGTTATACATGTGTGCTGTACATCAGCATGTGTATGTATGTACATAAGTCTACATGTACTCATGTACATACATGTACATGTACATGTGCATTATGTGCACGTACCAGTACTGACACGTACATGTACACCCATACATGTGCTACGCAAACGATGTCAAATGGGACAGCACTGGGCGCACGTGGACTATTTTCCCGTGCAAATAATGCCGCACCGTCGTCACGCAACACGTCGATGCTAAGCAAGCGACTCACGGTGCACAGTGAACAAAAAATCGCAATGGAACACCAACTTTGACGAAAGTAGTCTAGCCTATAACCATGGACAAAAAGCACCCCAAAAATCACTAAAACACAACAAAGCAATCAAACTGGCAAGACAGATAAAAGAAAAGGAAGGAAATCTAGCTTTCCCAGTAGGCCCTAAAGACTAACCCCAACCCATGACGTCAACCCGTTTCGCGTCACCTGGTTTTACCGGTTGTCGACGATAATAAGTGCATGTTTCACTTAAAAACAGGATTTATCAAAAAAATCAGCGAATACACCTATCGAATAGCCAGTGGTAGGAAAATTACGTCTTTTCAGACAGATCAATTTTTATAATGGTCCAGGAAACAAATCATTACCAGTCAGTATTTTGTTGTCGATCCTACGGGTGACCGCCATGCCCTTGGCCAACAGCCTCAAGTTGCAAAATCTTTTCCTGAGTGTATTCTGGTAAGAACTGACAAATTCAGCTCCTTCATTGTCGCTTTCTTCGTCCAATGAATAAGACGAACATGACAACTGATCGCTGTCATGATTGGAAAAAGCATCAACGCTGGAATTATCGTTACTTGAGTCTGACCATAGGACACGGGAGTTGCAACTCGGGCACTTCAAAGTGTTCAATGATGGTCGCCGCCGAGTCAGACGAATAATAGAAAACATTAAAAAAAAATGCCAGATTACTGCCTGCATTTTAGCCGGACAATCGGGGCTAGTAATATCCTAGCAATACTTGTAGTTTTTGCTTGCAATTAAATACAAATTATCGATGTGACCAGGAAATAGAGAGAGAAAAATTCCTGATACTTTACCTACTTTTGCCATCGTAAATACAGTTTTTAAATTATGATACACTGTTCCATTATCTATGCAAAGTTTGTAATTTTATCTCCTCCCCCAATACATCAGTTTTCAAAGACTTGGTACGAATTTGGCTAAGACTGGCCAACAAAATGTTCGTTAGGAACAAAATGCGCTATTTCATCACAGGGAGCGATCGTGAAATCTCATAAAATACGATTTTGTACAGATGTCATGATAAAAATGATTCGATCAAAACAAAATCTTGTAAACAACCGGGCTATTAATTCCCAAAGTAACTCCAGAAGAAAGAGTTCATTAAGGGCATTGATTGCACATAAAGTTTTAGGGCACACAGCGTAATGCAAGCAACTGCGCAAGCATTAAATTTGATGTTGTCATGAGATTAAACCCAGCACTAACAAATGCCTGAATATTCAATATCTCATACCTCAGTACACGAATTTTTAAGAATGCAGATTACGGTCATAGGGTAAAAAGGGGTTTCGTGGGTGTGGCTATATGAACATACCAGGCATGCCAGAAGGTGATAATTGGCCAGACGTTACAGCCCGGGCAGTTCAAAAAAAAAGATCGTATAGCGCCGCGCAGCGGCGCAAGATGGAAAACTTTACCGCGAATACACGTAAAACGTTGTTATCCCATAGGCGCCTTTGAGCAAGTGACACGCCTGCGCAATGCACATTACTGCGCAGGCGCAGGCGCCGCGTCAGGCACGTGTACCTGGTGAGCCTGCGCCGAAGCATTACCGTAAAGCGCGCAGGCGTATCACTTGCTCAAATGACGCCCATGGTAATTAAACCTTTTGGGAAGAGTTATCCCTCTTGCGCCTTCGGTGCTAGACGATTATTTGGTTCAAACTCCTTCTTTGTCCTTCCTCTGCGGTCTGACATGATAGCACACGCTAAAGCCACTGCATTACGTACATGTACTGTACATGTCGACGCGTCGTTGTGTTACAGTAAACAGTCGCCGAACATGAAAGGACTCCGTCCTATGACGTCATGATTCTTGAGAATTTTTTCAGATAACTTTTGGTACCCGACGGCTGTTGTTTAGATTTCGCTCCGCCGAGAAGGAAGTGAAAAGGGGTCGTGAAAACTATAATTTTAAACATATTTCTGCACACTTTGACATTATGCAGATATGTTTTCTTGTTATATGTTTGTTTGTTTTATGTGTTGATACATGTTTTACAAGTAATCTTCACAGCGCGACCCATTGTGGGGCCTACGCCCAGTTCGTTGATTGACACGTAAGCACACCTCTTTGATCGTGCCGAACTTACTAGCTCATGCTAATGAATGGATAACACCACAATAATTTACAGACGTGGACCCTTTAGATTCACGACTGTGAGAGATCGGATCCTACAAAAGTATATAAATATTGGTGCAGAATTCAGGATCATCAGTAGTTTCAACTACCCTTACCAGTTTTCAGCGATTTCTGCTCAAGATCCAAATCCAAGATTAACCCTTTCAGCACCAGCCCCTCTCTGTGTTATCCCCCCAGCTGAATACCACAACTTGATATGGTGCATGCTTACATACTGCCCTCTACAAATTGTATAGGCACAACCTGACTTTACTGGGTTGTGAGTAATAAAGCGACATTGACATAGTGGAGTAGTTACAACAAACTTGTAAAGACCAACCTAATCACTTAGTCTGCCTTGAATGTTTTTACAACCAAATTTCACAAAACAAATATTCTTATTTGTTGGCACTAGCCGGAAAAAATTAAGTGTTCAACTCTTTGATGGTATAAGAGGTCTACGTTGAAAGCAAAAATTGCCATCACGTACTGGACAGAATGCCAAATCCCCCCCCCACCGTTTCAATGTTGGGAGAAACTGCACCATGCTGGCTTTTTTCTACCAAAACATTGAAGGGGGGGGATTTCTACTCCACTGGAATAAAAACCAACAACAATTGGCAAACTGTTGACACATTTAAGGAATCTTAGGAGTGAAATTTGTGAAAGCATCCAATGACACACATTGGCTTATCACACATGATGCGGGTTTGCCTTCTCCGAGCTTTGGTACTGCAAACAACACAGTTGGGCTTTTGCTTAGTATTGCCTGGATGATGCTGTACAATTTCTGACATACATTTACAAGGGATGCTGTTGTGCACGTGACCTCCACTCTTCCCTGCTGACAGCAGGCCTTGGATCAGATAGAGCTGAAAGTCAAGATTTGACAGTCTACGATTGGTGCTAATCCTATTACATATATACACTATTCTTGCATTTAGAACACATTATGTCTAGAATAGCAAAAATACATGTGCCCGTTTCCACCACTTCACCGATCTGTGAGCATGTGAATAGTACTCACACTGTTGTGATGCACGATTGGTTCCTCCCATATGCATATGCTTGTTGTACTCAATGACAGTATTTGGCTTGCTGATGTTATGATAACCTGTAGGAGAGTTTTACATTTAATCTGTTCATTAGTTACACTACAGTTACCATAGTTTCAAGTTGTCAAGAGTGTCACACGCTTCATATCCTGCCACACAACACACAGTTGTCCTGACTCTTCATAAAAGCAAGGTTTATTTCCTTTAGCCATAGAAAACTTTTGGGTGTTTGCAAAATGTGGAATTCCTAGAATCTTGTATAGCACAGTTCCACAAAAGCCAAAGCCTAGCTGGGTAACCTATGAACAAGATCAGGG